AAGTTATATCATAATTTTATTAATTTAAAAAGCAAGCATGTAGAGTTATCATCTGATCATGATATGCTAGCTTCTAAATTTGATTATATTGCTAAAGAAAATGTGATCCTTAAAGAATACAATACAAAATTAAAATTGGATCATATAGACTTGACTTCCAAAGTTGCTAGTATAACTCATGAGAAGAATGATGCCTTATTAGAAGTAGAAGCTATTAGAGATTCTTTTAAGAATGATCATGTTTGCTCTACTTCTATTGCCAATGCATATGTGCCTAATAATGAGTTGAATCACATGAAAAAATGGATATCTTCATTAAATTCAACCTTAAATAAATGCATTGATAATAATAACAAACTTATAGACTTGTGTGTAAAGTCACGTGTTAATTCTTCCAAATCTAATATTCACTATACACACATGTATGGTAAAATTTATAAGTATTTCATTTGCGGCCGTAAAGACCATATTGCTAAATTTTGCTATGATGCATAACAAACCACTAATGCTAATATTATTACTCATTGTGCATCCCATCAAGTCTCCTCATCATATACACATACACATACACATGCACACAATGTTCATCATAAGCATGTTAATGTGTATAAGTGTGATTTTAGTGGAAGAGTTAGTCATTTAACAAAATATTGTTTGGATTTACGAAAAGTTTCTAAGTCGCAAAATATTTTAAAAAGACCAACTTTGTCTAAAAATGTTTCACATTTGTAAAATAATTTAAAAAGACAATCCTTGTTTGCAAATGTTTCTCATGCACAACTATATGGTCAACATAAACAAGTACATCTATTCTATTGCATCTATTACAATAGGATGAGTCATTTGCGAGATTATTGATATGACCGAACACGTGTATTACATCCATCCAAATAGGGTCATAACCCAAGGGCTTTGGATTTCATTAATAGGGGTCATGTCCTTACTCTCTGGTACCAAGAGTATTTGGGTACCAAAATATATTTGATTTTAAAGAATAATTATTTTTACATTTTTGTTATCTCTTTATGTTTTTGAAAAAAATGATTTTTTTTTGAATTTTTGTGTAAAACATGTTTACAAAACTTATTTTAGAAATACATATTAATCAAAATTTTTACTCAAATGATTGGTTTTAATTGCATATATTGGTCAACTTTTTTTAAATATATTTTTGTACTCATTGGATATTATAAATTTTATTGGTTTTGATTTTCATGAAGAGGTTTACGTTTGAGTAACCCCTCGGATTTATTAATAATTTGTTTTCAAATCATGTTTACCAGGTGCTAAAAAGATTTATATAGGTTAGAGCTTAGAATGCTCAAATTCTCTTGTCAAATATAGTACAAATTTATTTTGTAGATAGGAAAGATGTGTCCCTTAATTAAAAATTGATACAAACTCTCTTTTAGTGGACATCTTTTCAAGCCTCTTTACGAAGAATTTTTTTGTTGTTTAAAGAGGGAAATTGGGCATGTTTTGAATCATGTTTGCTTACTCATTTCTCTGAAAATAATGTTTCTATGATTCTTGATTTTTATGTTCATGATTGTTTTTAAACTATGTTTTTGACACCATTCATAAATGATATACATATATATATGTGTTCTCTTGGTCTCTTTAAATGTGAGTTGTTATAATTTTTCATACTCACATATTGATGCCTTAAGGCATATATCACTTTATGTGCTTTATTATTTCTATTGATACATGCTATGTGGCATTTTAATAGGGGGAGTTTTTTCCCCATTTATTTTATACTCACACATGCTTATTTGTAGGGGGAGCTTTCGCTCTCTTTATTCTTATTGTTTCCCCATTTTGATGTTGACAAAGGGTGAAAAAATAAGTGGATTGTGAGTATTTTATTTTCATGCATGAGTTATAAATTGTATATTCATTTGATATCATGCATATCTTATATATCTTTGTGTAGATTGTTTATCATCATCAAAAAGGGGAAGATTGTTAGGTCTCATGTTTATGAGTCTAATATCTAATCTAGTTTTGATGATTAATAAACAATTCCTAATAATATTTATCGAGTGGTTATTTGCTTGTTAGGTATTCTACATAAAGATCCTCCTTTGGAGGTTGAATGGAATTGCACGTTCACGATGATATTCAAAAGAGGTTGGAAGAAAATCAAAATGAACCCATCGCAATTCAAGTCAAAGACAATATCATGCTTCATCTCGGTACCAAGATTGAGCTCAAACGAAGAACATTTTACTTGGGTATATTAGTTTAGGAGTTATATTTTGTGTGATAATATTTTAAGCTTATTTTATACACACATGTATTTTTCTCATATTTATCAAAATATATGCATTTATGAGAAAATAATGTATTCTTAGTTTATGGAATTAATAATCCTAGTTCACATCTTTTCCTAAGTCTATAAATCCATTCAAAAGTTTTCAAAACTTAGTTTAAGTCAAAATGATGAGTTTTGTCTAAATCAAACGTTTAAATGAACACATGTTTTTAGGCAAAATGGCCAGATTGGTATATTTTCTAGGGTCTTGGTGACAAGTTGGTATATTTATTTTAAGTTTTGTCATATTGGTATAAAATTTCAACTCCGGCACCATATAAGCCTTAAGTTTGGCCGGAGTCAATTTTCCGGCCATTATTCTCACGCGACAGCTCACGTGACTCCGACGTGGCCTTTACGTGGATTCCAGCGTGGCGATATTTAGCGGGAATAAGTGAGCGGTTTGCCTAGAAAATCGCAGAAGAGCAGTAATTCAATCCCATTCTTTAATTTCCCTCTCTTCCCCAATTACAGAAGAAAATCGTAGAACCCTAGAGCGTAACGATCCCCAAATTACAGACGATCGAAGTTCAAGGCTTCCATCTACTTCATCTTCTTTGGCGCGGAGCAAAAGGTGAGTGAAAATTTCATTTTTTTGAAACTAATACATGGAAATTTGACGGGTTTATTGTAAATTAGGGTTTTTTGATGGGTTTAGTGAGGAGTTAGGGTTTTTATTGTGATATTGCAGATGAGTCTCCAAATATTGGTTAAAATCAGACATGGAGGAAGTTTTCCGATGGGCTGGGTTGAAGATTATGTTGGTGGTAGATTTGATGTTAGGTTTATAGACAAAGAGGATCTGAGCATAGAAAGACTGATGGATGAAATTAGTGCAATTGGGTATAGCAATGTCGACGGCTTGTTCTACTGTGTTCCTGGTGTAGGGGTTGCAAATGGTGGATTAAGGTCTCTAAGTGATGAATGTTCCTTCATTGAAATGCTAGAACATGCAGAAAGGGTGAAGGCAATTGAAATCTATGTTGAACATGGCATTGATCAACCTGCAGAAGTTATTATGGAAGATTGTGATGTGTTGTTGTTGGAAGGTGTGCAAGAAGATATGCAAATGCCAAAAGCGACCACTCCTAAAAGAAGGTGACAGTAGCAGGACCCAGGAGATCAACACCCAGGAGATCAACACCCAGGAGAGCCACTGCTAGTGCCAATGAGAAACAAACACCCAAGAAAGCAACATGCAAGAGGAAGGTAACATATCCTTCAACCTCCAGGAAGAAACTAACACCCAGGAGGGCAACCAAGTTGTCAACCTCCAGTGAAACCCTGCCACAACAAGAAGCATTATTTTCAGCCTCTTTAGATGATCAGTGTAGTGCACAACAGCAGGCAAGTCCATCTAGTGATAGTGACGACTCTGTGGAGGATGAGAATTACAGAATGGATCCTAGGGAGGCATTTGCAGATGATGACTTTGATGATGATGAACTATTTGATGAGTTTAGCAATAATGGCAAAGGGAAAAAAGAAGAATGTGCAAAAGAAAGAGGATGACAGTGCCTACAGTGAATGTGGAGGGCAATGATAGTGTGCCTGAACCAAATAATGAACCTAGGGAGCCAGTGAATGTGGAGGGCAATGAGAGTGTGCTTGAACCAGGCCAGGAAGATAGGGAGGCAGTGAATGAGGTTCACGGTGCTCACAGTGATGATTCCTTTCAAGCTGCTATATGTAGTGAAGACGAGGAACTGAATGAGATTAGGCAATGCAATAAGGAGAATCTAAGTCAAGAGATGGGCCACATTGCTTTAAACTCTGGTGCCAAACTGGGAGATGATGTTGATGCAGGTAATTCCTTTCAATTTAACACTGTCAGACCCCCTCGAGTGGTTAATGCTAATGTACCAACATCACCCCATGAAGGAGTACATTCAAGAGCTGACAACACAGTTGATGAACCTGGGCCATCAACCACTGAACCACAACAACAGTCATGGCCAGAATTTTTTACAAATTATGATGGTGGATATGAATCAGATCCTAGATCAAGTGGTGATGAAGGTCCCATAATGGCAAGTGATGAGGATGAAACTCTTGTCCAAAGTTTACAAAAAAGGGCATCAAAGGTCAAGTATCCATTTTTTAATGAAGAAGTTGACATGAAAAATGTTAAATTGACAGTAGGATTGAAGTTCACGTCAAGGGAAATATTAAAAGAAGCAATATTGAATTACTCCATACAACAACACTATGACATTGTTTATGGAAAAAATGATAAGAGACAGTTGAATGTGAATTGTGCACTCTGTCATTGGCAGCTAAATGCTACACCATGTCGTGATGATGCTAGTGCTTGGAAAATCAATAGTATGCACCCTTATCATACTTTTGTCAGGACATTCAAGAATAGGCTAATCACTGAAGATTGGCTTGCAGAAAAATTCATTGACAACTTTTGAGGGATCCTACGTTCAAGCCCAAAGATATGAAAGCAGGCAAAAACAATATGAAATCGTAGTGGATTTAAGGAAATGTAGGAGGGCAAAGAGTAGGGCTTTGAATGCAGTAGATGGTTTGTTTAAGAAGCAATATGGCTTGTTAAAGCCATACATGAGAGAGCTCTTAAGGAGTAATGATGGAAGTACATGCCTTCTGAAGGTCACAGATCAAAGTGAATCATCAGAATCAGGAGTCTTTCAAAGATTCTACGTGTGCTTTGCAGGTAAAGTAAATGTGTTTGTTAGAAAATTTTGAAGTTTTATCAAAGCTTGTATGTGCAGGTTTTTTAGGCCATACTGAATTCATTCCTGTGTTCTCAGCCATGAGAAGGGGGTTCGCCAACAATTGTAGACCTATATTTGGACTTGATGGGTGCTTTCTTAAACATGCATGTGGTGGGCAATTGTTAAGTGCCGTGGGGAAAGACGACAATAATCAGATGTGGCCAATTGCGTGGGCTGTTGTGGAGGCTGAAACAAGGAGCTCTTGGGAATGGTTTATGAGAATCTTATCCAATGATCTCAACATGGGAGAGGGAGAGGGATGGACAGTAATTTCAGACCAACAAAAGGTAAGGATCAATTTCATGTCATATTCAATTTAATCTCTATCTAGGCTACATATTTACATATTTGGGTATGTTTTTTTGTTTAACCAGGGTTTAGTTCCAGCTATACATGAAGTTTGGCCCCAAGTGGAGCATAGGCAATGTGCAAGACACATTTATTCCAATTGGAGGAAAGCACATACTGGAAGAACTCTTCAAAAACAATTTTGGTATTGTGTGAAGGCAACCTCCATGGGGGATTTTGCAAGAGAGGCTGGCAAACTCAAGGATTACTCTCAAAAGGCATACGACGACTTCATGGCAAGGGATCCTCACACCTTCTGTAAGTCCCATTTTAAATGTCATAGCCAATGTGACAGTGTCGACAACAATATGTCCGAAACCTTCAACTCATTCATCCTTCTTGCAAGATACAAGCCAATAATTTCTATGCTAGAAGACATTAGACTTGCCATGATGGATAGGATGCAGTTAAAAAGGAAGTTGATTACACAATTTGTGGGTGGGATTGCACCTAGGATAAGCAAGAAAATCAAAGAGGGATATCAAGAACAATTGCACTGTCAAACACGTTGGTCGGGAACAAATGACTACAGTGGATTTGAGATACATCACAGAGGGATTGGCCATGAGGTTAACTTGGGTGAAAATACCTGTTCTTGTAGGGTTTGGGACTTGACTGGAATTCCATGTTGTCATGCCATTAGTGCAATATTGTTCATGAGAAAGAATCCAGGAGATTTTGTTGCTCATTGGTACAAAAGTGAAGCTTACAAAAATGCTTATGAGAGCTTGTTAAACCCTGTGCAAGGTACCAAATTTTGGGACCTTCAACAGGAGGGATCTGTGTTGCCTCCTCACAGTATTAGGAAGCCAATGGGGAGGCCCAAACATGCTAGAAGGAGGGACCCTTCAGAAGGTCCAAGAAATCAATTTAAGGCATCAAGGCAAGGTGTGCAAGGACGATGCACCCATTGTGAATCAAGTGAACATACACGGAGAAAGTGCCCTACTGCACCACCAAGGCAACAAGCTACACAAGTAAGCTTTTTTTTTTTGCAGCTGTATTTTGTGTTCATTAAACAACTTAAGCCTTACCTGATCCATCTTGAAGGAATCACAAGGAACAAGAGTTGATGAAGGACCATCTCAAGTGAGGAAAAAGGGGAGACCAAAGGGAAGCCTGAACAGAATAAGAGTTGATGACTTGCCTCCAAGCAATGCTCCAACGCCAGCATCCATTATCCTTGGCAGAAGAAGCAAAGCTCCAACAACCAGCACTGAGGCAGGAAGAGGTAGAGGAGGGGGGTGGAGAGGGAGAGGGAGAGGAAGAGGAAGAGGTAGAGGGAGAGGTGGTGCTGGTCAATTATGGATGCCAGAAGGGGTTGGTTTGTGGCAAGGACCACAAGGAGAAATGGCATTTAGAGCACCTGGTGATAGTCAAGTAAATGTGATACATTTGACACCTAATGCTCCATCCTCACAGACTGCACCCTCTCAGGAATGAGAGTGTAATTAACTGCAGTAGATAACCAGCTTCTGAGATATTTTGGGACAAAGTTGTTCATGTATGGTTAATGTTATTTTGGCACAAAGTTGTTACTGTCTGGGTATTGTATTTTGGGAACAAAGTTGGTTAAAGTTCTATTTAGTATTTTGTGTTATGTTATGTGATAAAGTCCTGTAACTTACATGCACTTGGTATTTTGTGTTTTGTTGTGTGTCACAGTAGTTTCCAAGCAATGTTCTACCTAATACATTTGGTATTCTGGATGTTCATTTGTTTGGCATGTTTAAAGTTTATATGTCTACTTCATGCCAACCCCTTTATTGACATCATTGAACCAGGTCATGTGCAATATGGGTCCAACATGTATAATTTAATTCATGTCATTGAACCAGGTCATGTACATTTGGTTATACAAGTCATTGCACCAGTTCATGTGCATTCATGCCTGTATATAACAATCAAGAAAGTTCATTTATTCATGCACAATCAACAACACACATTAGGAGTTCAATTTACCAATCTGTCAAAATACTGTGCTTTATTCACATCAGCATCCACTTTCACATTACAACCATCTTCACATTACAACATACAGAATTAAACAGAGTGTAAACATTCCTAATAACAAAATAAACTTAATAATCCTTTTTTCTTTTGCAACATTTTCCTGCAATTCTAATCTTTCTTTCATCATTTTCTGCACTTCTTCCAAACAAGAAGCAGCCTCATGTTGAGACAATTCGACATCCTCTTTAAGCTTGTAAATTTCCTCATTGCATCCTCTTAGCTGATTTTCACACCTTTGAAGTAACTCCTCCTTCAACAGCAACGTATTCCTCAAATCATTGATCTCCTCTCTTAGAAGTGGAAACAATTGACATCCAACACTACACATTGGTTTGTCAATCCATTCCCAAATGCCACAACCACCAGCCTATCATTACTCAAAAATCAAGGAGACTATGATCAAGTGAGATGCGCAAAAAATTCCAACTTCTAAGTAAAAACTGCAGTTGATTACTGCAACAAATGAGGAAGTAAATTTAACTTACATGCTGATTGCGACATTTGTAGAACCTCCATCCTGGATTTTCATCAGTCATAGAAGTAAAATATTCGCAATCCAAACCACAATTACAAACCTTCACCCCAGATTGCTTTGCTAGATCATTCCACTGTCGTATAGCTTTTATTCCATTGAACCCTTGCCTGCTTCTTCCAATGCTCATGCTTGACACTGATCTTGAGCGACAGCTTGAAGATGACGAATCCATCACTAATTTAACTCCCACTGAACCTAACCCTAACCCTAGGAGGAAGAATAAAATGGAGTAAGAAGAAGAAGATGGAGTAAGAAGGAGGAGGAGGAAGAAGATGGAAGCCCTAATCGGAGATATAAACCCCCCTTTTGTCAAAATTTATTCATCCCAACCACCTGCCACGCTGGAATCCACGTAAAGGCCACGTCGGAGTCACGTGAGCTGTCGCGTGAGAATAATGGCCGGAAAATTGACTCCGGCCAAACTTAAGGCTTATATGGCGCCGGAGTTGAAATTTTATACCAATATGTCAAAACTTAAAATAAATATACCAACTTGTCACCAAGACCCTAGAAAATATACCAATCTGGCCATTTTGATTTTTTTCACCAAAAAAAATTAATATTTGATTTTTTTTGTAACATGTTTATTTTCATGTTTATAAACATTTTTCCAAATTTCATAATTTTTAGAATTTATTTGCTATTTTTAAAAACACTTTAAAAATTAATTTCACTATCCTAAACTGTCCCTGTGCATGTTATCAGTCGACTGACAAAGTTATCTGTCGACTGATGAAAGTGGTTGGAATTACCAAATGTTTTTGCTCAGTCGACGACTGATGCACCATCTGTCGATCGAAGCAGCTCATCAGTCGACTGATGGTGCATCAGTCGAACGACGAGCTTTGAGCAGCAACAAACAAGTAGCTCATCAGTCGACTGAACAGTACCATCAGTCGACTGACAGCTACTGTAACGGCTAGTTTCTAGATTTTCAAGGATTTTATTTTTCTATGTGATTTGTTTATTTTTTTTCTTGGTTTTGTGCTTTGTTTTGTGATCCTATAAATGCCCCCTCAGTCTCAACATATGGGGCTAACTAAGAAAAGTTTAAAACAAGTTTGTAAGTGTTTAAGTGTGTTTTAAGTGTGTTTATGTGAAGAGAGTTTCACAAGAGGAGGATATCATTTTATTTCTTTTTGTGTTTCAATCTCACATCTCCATCACTTTTGTTTACAAAGAAATTTTGCTGAACTCAAATCTCTAGCTTTATATATGTTTATTGTTCATTATCATTTTCTTAAGCTAGATTATAAATTGAGTTTACATTTCATTTTACTCATTGACTGCACACACAACCTATTGAGCTTTTAGTATTTCATATTAAGTATAATTTGGGTTGTGGTGAGTGATTAATTGAGTGTGGGCTTAATTTAATTCTCATCTTGTTTAGAGAACAAATTATCTTTACTTGTGCTAAATTGTTGAGAACACATTGTAATACACAAGAACACTTAGAGAAGTGGTTGGCGAGAGACGTGAACAATTCCAAGAGAAGTGGCGTTGGTAGTAAATCCTAGGGAGAGGTTGTAATTACGAGCATTAGAGAAAGGTGACACGTGCTAGGTCAACACTTAGAGAAGTGTGTTGTGTGATCACAATTATGAGAGTTGTAAAAGTTTTCGGTGAACTTGAAAAGCTGATTATGTAGTTATTTTTGAGATAGTGGAGATTCTCCTCGAGGGTGAGGAGCGCAGACGTAGGTTGTGGGTCGACCGAACTCCGTGATCATTTGCCTTGTGTTTGTATTTGTCAATTTGCGCACTATCTCTCTTATTTGTGTGTTCATGTTTATATCACCCGTTGTTTAATTACATATCCTTGCGCATATGTTGTTGTATATCATAATTTCTAGGATATTAGTTAATAAGTTTTTATTTGACATTAATATCGGATTAGATTAGCAATTACCCTATTCAACCCCCTCCCCCTCTAGGGTTCACAATGCTACCATCATTTGAAGTCTATACAAAGTCATCCACCATCGGCTTTGGTTCCTCATTGTTGTTTGGCGATAGATCCTCACCATTATTGCTTGATTGCAAGGAAACATAATCAGTTTCCAAATGAGGAGGACTCCCTACCATTAGTTGTAGGCGGCCCAATTAAAAAGGGGAACTTGGGGGGTTAGAATTTTACTAACAATATTAGCGTTGGCTTCAGCCGAAATATCATCCACAGATTTTGAGTAGTGACTGACTTCAGTTCATCAAGACTTACTTCTTTGCTTGGGGAATTGGATTTTTCTTTTTTTGATCTAGGTATTTCGGCTGTTCTTTAGGGTTCAAAAGTGTGCCACAATTTGAGTTGAGAAGGAAGTTAGAAGAAGAAAGGGGGAAGGGGGGAATTTTTCTCTCTCGAGAGGGGGTGATTAGAAATGTGCGTTGTTATTAGATAAGTAGGGGTTAAATGACAACCCTTTAATGTGGGGGTAGTTTTGAAAGAAAAGTTGATTTTTTTCTCTCTGATGAGATGTAAATCATGTAATCATAAAAGGAGGTTAAACATGTCAAAAGTTTGTATTTGGCGCCTAGGCACAACCCCAAAATTTGGCTGGGCCTAGTCACATTGGATCCTTGTTCTAGGCACAATTTTCCCAAGATTTTATAGTTCTGGGCCAAACAATAAATGAAGTTATCTACATAGGTCTCATTTACAGGTATGTATTTATGTGGACAAATGGAAGTTGGTAAGTACATCACACATCTAAGCACAAGAATATCAAACATCATTTTAATTCCAAGCGCACAGCAACAAAAAGCATTCTTTTGAATGCATAACCAGAAGAGGAATTTTGTTGCGATCGTGAGCTCCATCCTAATCTTATAAGTAATAAATGACATAATAATAGCAATAATTACTTTTGGGCAGGCATGAAATGATCCCTTGGCTGCATCCATCTTTCCAAAATTACTTCTCTCACCTATCAATTCCTAGTGATCCTTTCGTTCAAGAGCCCAAGCTTCAATTTGTGCCCATCAAGGGTTGGTGTGGGACTTGAAAGCCCTCAAACATATACCTACATGCATATATTGGTACCTAGGGTTTCTAGCTTTAGCCTTCCCTTAAATGGTGAGACATTAGAGCACAAGGAACTTTGGGGGGCCTTTCTGCAGTTGGGGGACTGGAGTTGAGAGGTGTCTTTCTAAAGCTGTCAACACTTGTGATTGTGGTTGAAGAGCTCAATAGCTATATAAATATATAGTTACCGAATACCATGCAAGCGCTGTGGTTCTCCTATGGGACTATTCTTTCTCCTAGGTTTCTTTTACTAGGATTTGGTGCATTTTATTTTGCCATATTTGTGTACTTGTGTGCTTTCTTGTTGTCTCTTCTCTCTTGATGTCTCTTTCTATGGCTAGTTCATGGAAAAACCTACGTACCCCAAGGTGAAGTATACTCGATGAAAGCTTTTAGCTTGAAGAACTTGATGTTTCAACGTTGTGGACGTCTCTGAAAAAAAAAAAAAAACAAAGAATCCCTGTCATTTCTTATAAAATATGAAATTATCAGGCCTCTTAATCTTTACGCTTCTCTTACTTACCTCCCTGTCATTGCTTCCAAATATGAAATTATCAGAACATCCTTTGGTGAAAGGCCCATTTAAAGTGAAAAAGAACCCGAGAAAAAAAAGATCTCAATCTGTTTATCTTGATTTCCT